AAACTAACTATCCGGGGCCGTGGTGGAAAATTTTCTTCCAAAATGGTAGTTTTTTCCGATTCATGGCAACACTCGAATAACAGACCAACAATCGCCCGGAACATTGTACCCCACTCCGGTGTCGCCATCTGCCGGAAAATTGCTACCAAAGTTTGAGATTTTTTTGATCGCAACAAAATGGCCGACGGCTCAGCCGCCATCTTGTTTTTTGATAATCTGTGCATGTGGCTCTTAAGAAGACTATACAAGTCACAAATACTCAAAAGAAATTTTCAAAAACCATTGCGCATCTCGGAGTGACACCTCCCTAAAAACACCTCGAAATCGCATTTTCAATCCAAGATGGCGGCGCGGCCATTTTGTTTTTCCGTTTTTTTCTCACATTTTTGAACACACCTTGGCAACCCTAATAAACTCCCAAAAAGGAAAAAATTCAGGATGAAAAACAAAAAAGTTGTTGTCTCAAAAAATGCCGCCATTTTGTTTTTTGGTTCAAAAAATGTAAAAAACCTGGGTGTCAAAAAATCTAGTAAAAAACAAACACTAACAATTTTACCCCCCTCCCCTCTAAATACCCCAAAAATACCCCTGATCAGTCAGTGAGTCAGTGAGTGAGTAGGAATCGAGCTTTATATAATATAGATAGAAGAGTGCCAACCCTAACACTCAGTTGAAGTGTAGGTATTTAACTCGCCGAAAGGGCTAAGTTTCCGTACTGCTTTAGCTCATATATCTACTGTGCTTACAACCATTGCTGAACTAATATTACTCGATTAGTTGAACCCTCAGATCATAGAAAGAGAATAGATATGAAGTCGCGCGTAACTACAAAGAGAACCAGTGACCCCACATTTCCCCCACCACAGCTCCCACACACACATTCAACTGTGTATAAACAAAGCGACTGAGAGTCTACGACAACATGTGCAACCGGCTTAAAAGTGCTGTGATTGGCCAGAAGGCGTGCCTTATGGCCAATCAATGGCCGCGTGACGTGACGCACACTTTGAAAAAAGCAATTAGAGAGAAGAAGATAAAATGGAGTCGATAAGATATCGATACTTTAAATCCTGGGGGCAAGGCTCAAAATTGGTTTAAAAAATGCTTGTATGAAAACCTTTTTATTAAATACGTTATTATTATGTTCTTTAACGATTTTTGCATAAAGGAGTCAGTTCCATTTTGTATGGACGAAAAACTCAGAATCAATTATTGGGACTAAATGAAGTTACCTTATATTAATTTACCCCAACCAAAGCTCAATGTCGTTATCGATGGAGTATAGAAGTTATAGACTGACAAAGTTTGTATGAAAAGTCATGGGCTTAACCCATGACTTTTAGGTACTTGCGATTTTTACCAGTATTTACAATATTGGTAATATAATTATTATTTACTTTAATAATAATAACAGGATCACTGTAATTATTATTAACTACTATCGCGCATTAACTTTTTAATTATGGCGNAGCCCTGCACTATGTTACGACCGGCACATGCGGCCGTACTGTGTATTTTCACGCGTCAGTGGATATCGGAAGAAATAAAATACATTGCGCAGTAGTTACGCATGACATAAAGTGGTTGCTAACTAAATCGTCAATGTACAACGTGTTTGAATTTTTATCACCACTAATTTCGATATCGCAGTAAATGTCACGGAACTGAATTCGTTCGTAAAAATGTTTAGTTTTTTTTATTTATAAGCAAAATACCAATGGATTTGCAATACTTACATGTGGTAAATGACTTCATTGTTCCTGTAGTTCTTCGTTTCACTTATGTTATTGCACGTTACGACGCATTATCCAACAATATCGGAGAACATTTCCTCAGTACGAATGAATCGCGACTAACCTGGCGTCGCGGGCGATGTTCGTTTCTGGGCATATCGCGGAGACACGCGCCACGCCCCCGTTTCACATCTATTCCTTTCTATGATCTGAGGTTGAACCTAACGGATGTGTTCTGCAAAGTACACAATTAAGAAAACCTTGAGCACTGTTGGTGACTACAATACCGTGGGCCGTGGGAATTCTTTGTATGTACTATGTACCACCCACCATTAGTCCAATCGACTGGTCTATTACACAGTCGTTAGGCCCGTCCCGTTGCATTCACTATCACTAATGAAGATATTAAACAAAATTGCAACTGCTATTTGAAACCATACAGTAGTTTGAAATCTGAACTCAAATATTTACAGTGTGAGGTTTGTTTTCCTTCAGTCGTGATTCCCCGTTACGTAGTAGATTCCGCGTATAGCTCAGTCATATTTCATAGAATCTTGTAACAGGTCCAAAGACCGTGAATGGGTCGTTCTAATTGACCACCAAACTACACTTTTTGGGGTATTTCACACTGCCTTTACGGGAATTACACGCTTTGTGATATGATAATTGGACTTCCATAAAAGATACACAATAATATGCGAAGGTTAACATTATCATAGTTGAGATGAATAATAATATCGCCATAAAGTTGTATTACCTGTTGGCTCTACAATGTATAATGGCACTATCAACTCTAATGACACATCTACTTTTAACTTTAAACCAACTAAGCAATGTGGCCCTGTATAAACTTTGCTGTTTACGAAGGCCCACAGTGCCCACTACTGTATTAAAGAAACCCCGGAAGAGGGTAAAATTACGTCATAAATTATCGACAAAAACATTTATTTTTATTAAAAAATATATGAACTGATAAACTTTCTATGGACTACAAAAAATCGACTGCAAAAAGTATTGGTTCTATTTCTATAAAATAAAAACAATACCAAGCTTTGTGTTGACGATATATTAACAAATAACTCACATACTAGTGGATATTCATTTCTTAAAAAATGTTTTATACAAGAAAAAAAAAAGGTTTTGTCTGCACTCCATACAAAACATTGTGGTTTGGCCGATTGAGTGATTTTCCACCACAGACTGACGTTATCAGCACGGATGCCCATTACGCGTGTTTTACTCTTTTTATTTATTTTCAGACATCTAGAAACGATGACAGCCGGCATCTTATCTTAAACGATCATCACCTTGACAGTGATACTTAATATTACAACTTCTGTGGAAATTAAAATATAAATATAAAGATTAGATATGTATGGGTTTCTACATATTTCTATGAAAACGTCATAATGTAGCGTCATGACGTTTTCTTGAGTATGTAGGTATTCTTAGCGTAAAATACATCCGTGTGCATTTTCCTTTTATGGATCTATTATTTATTTTATGGATTAACTTATTTATTAGAGATAATAACGTAAATAATACCGAGATTATTGTGTATTTGTGTAATATTACTATTTAATGGAAATATAATGGTTGTCTATTTATAGTAAAACAGTTTATCATAATGGCGGATAGTTACAGGTATTCTAATCTCATCTAAGATTTAGAAACGAAACCATAAAATCAACGTCTCTGATCTTTGCAGTCTGTAAATATCATAAAACACTCATATTTATGGTGGAATGGACTGTCGTAAAAAGCAGATCAAAACGAATAATGTTTTGCCAAAAAGCAAATTTGTTTTGCGTTTATTACCAAATGTTTACAGGCTGCAATATTTCTTTCTAGTTTATAGAACCTTAGATATAGTTTCAAGTTTTCCACCATTCAAAATTTCCTGTTGTAAAGTGAATATTTTCTGTTGCTCATTCAGTAGTAGCATGGTGATATAGAGTATTTTTTGTATCACCTAATAACTAAATAGAGCCTTTTGCTACATTTAGAAAACCCTTTCATTTTTGGAAGTAGAATCTGACGTTGCGATAAAAGGATCAGATTCTATATTGCATGTGCCCAATCTAAATCCTTTTGTCGACACGTCTTTTGTCTGTCGTACACATCAAATCTGCATCAAATGGAATCTCCTTTAACTCTCGCCATGAGAGAACCGTATACCTATGATGAGAACCTATGATATATCATCACATGCAGATTTGACACCATGCGACAGCTATAAGAGCCTTTTCACACTGGTGATTTGTCCGGCGAGAGCAAGACCGTGGCGTGCTATTATACAGGAGACCCATTGGTGGCTGATCAAACCAAACTGATTGATTCTCCTTACTGCTCAAATGAAACAACTTTTCGAAAGTAGAAGAAGTTCCAATTTAAGAATTTGGATATTGTTCTTGTGGGGAAGTTATTGCATTTCAGCAGTAGAATCACTCCTTTTTGTTTGATCACTCACGAATAGGCCATCCTGTATCTATAAGGTTGACGTGATCTTGCAACGTCGTGTAAGAGCCAAATCACACGATGCATTGCGGAGCGGAGTCACTGCGTTATTTTACATAGAAATATCTGTGGCGCCGCGTCCCGCGTTACGTCGAAATCGTCGCAACGCATCTTCTGCTTTGGCTCTTACTACTGGCAGAGTAAATACAAATGAGTAGGTCATCTTCATAGAAATGCACCGAGCGCGGTTTGTAGGTATGTGAGCGCGTCAATACGTATGCGGCGCGCACGCACACACTGACAAAATTTAACGTGGATTAGCGGGGTGTTGCGCCGAATTTTGTCAGTGTGTGCGTGCGCGCCGCATACGTATTGACGCGCGATACAAACCGCGCTCGGTGCGTTTCTATGAAGATGACCTACTCATTTGTATTTACTCTGCTACTGGTCAAATCGCTAGTGTCAAAGGTTCATTACCACACCCCGTGCGGCCGTTAACATGTGTGCGTGCGTAGCTTCGTCGCGGGCGTGATCCTGCGCGAACGCATCCCCGCCTTCGAGCGGATGCTGTGGCGCGCGTGCCGCGGCAACGTCTTCCTCAGGCAGGCGGAGATCGACTCGCCACTTGAGGACCCGTCTTCTGTAAGTATCATTTAAATCCTTATTATCTTTATCTTAAAGCTCATAACAAGGCGAACTAAATATACTACGAAATTATTCTTACCTCTTGTTCCCACCACGACACCCATCACATCACAACGGCCATCGTCTCTACGAGCTATGTGCCCTGCCCACTGCCACTTGATTTTAGCAATTCTGCGAGCTATGTCGGTTACTTTGGTTCTCCTGCGGATCTCCTCATTTCTGATTCGCTCACGCAGGGAAACTCCGAGCATAGCCCGCTCCATCGCCCTTTGGGTGACCTTGAGCCTTCTTATGAGGCCCATAGTAAGCGACCACGTCTCAGATCCGTATACCATCACTGGCAACACACATGTAATAGTGTGTGTATATAGGCTACAGTGTATACCACCAATAAAAATCAATATGTAAAGGCCAGGTTTGTTTGAGAGGAAATATACCGTAACACTGTTGGACGCGCAATGAAGTCAATCATAAGAACATAGGAGAAGTTCGATTTATGAGACCTATGAAAAGGCTTCCTCATTTAGATGTTATCTTGTCCCAGCATAAAAACGGACACTGCCTTAGACAAGTTTCTTGTAATGTTCCTTACTTTAACCAACTTATTTTCCTCACCTCTCCCATCTTTCTTCCAGTCGGACCAGGTGTACAAGTCGGTGTTCATCATCTTCTTCCAAGGAGACCAGCTCAAGACTCGCGTCAAGAAGATCTGCGAGGGCTTCCGCGCGACGTTATACCCGTGCCCCGAGGCGCCGGCTGACAGGAGGGAGATGGCCATGGGCGTGATGACCAGGATCGAGGACTTGAACACGGTAGGCATAAGGACTATTTTGGCTTACAGCTTATTTTGGTTTAAGCTTCGGCCAAACCAACGCGTGAAGCTCGTAACGGCGATCACTGCGCTTGCATAGACCGCCGCGAACAATGACAGGACGCGTCGATGTGAACTCAAACAAATTCATACACGACATATGATTGCCATCGCGCATGCAGGCTGCACGCGTTGGTTTAGCCCAGCGTTTTTCAACCTGTGGGTCGCGACCTCCTGGGGGGTCGCCAGGCCTCTGTAGGGGAGTCGCGAGAGGTCATAAAAAGTACCTCAGTAAAAACTGTGTAAAAATGATCAAAAAAGGTAGAAACAAGACAATTTATACTTATCGGTAGCGAGTCTTTGACAGAACTATAGTGTTCTCAAATGCAGTCGGAGGCATCAATCGCAACGCAAATCGGGGGGTCGCAAAATATTTTTTCATACTAGGGGGGTCGTGTCACCAAAAAGGTTGAAAAACACTGGTTTAGCCGAACCTTAAGTTAGCCTGATTGTTAGTACCAAGTCCTTATGACTTCGTCCACCGTGTGGATCTAGAAAATAACTTGTCCTAACGTTGGTGTTAATACTATTTGCTAGATACAGCGATTGTGACCACGTTTGGTACCGACGTAAGACATCGACACGGCTTCATTTACCTAACATGACATTTTGATTTAGTTTAATACCCATTATTCAGACATCAGCAGGCCTAGGAAATGCGCCGCTATAAAATCTTGTCTAGGAATTTAATCAACGATAAGTCGTTAGCATCGATATGGTGGCGCGCATTATATCCTGGCAAGGTTATAAATAAGTTCATCGCCCGATTGAGAGCTCGTTCACCAGTACAGCTAACCAATTTAGCGGCCATCTAATGGATCACTCAAACTGTTGTAAAAAGGCATATAAAGGAATATACTTGGCCTAAATTATCTTGAGCAAACCATCGTAAAATACGCTCACGGTTTACGGTTTGGTAAATCTCAATAATTTACAGTCGCCGTGGCGTGTGCCATAAATAACTGCTCCAGATTGGCGCTAAATGATTTGCATGCTATTAATCTCAAACGATCGGTTGGGGCTCGGCGACCTTGCCATTGTTGGATAGTCAGAAGTTTTCAAACTTTTTGAAGGGTCTCAATACTCAATACTCAATACTTTTATTGCATAACCACATTAGCATTCACATTTATAGGTCTTACAATTTAGGCAGTTATACAATGTGGACCCAGTTAGGGCACAGCAACTTTAGGAAGGAGACAGAACGACGGTCTGACTGAGTATTTATGTCAATGACTGAGTTTCTTGCGCTGCATCTTCTCAGCACTGGCCCATTTATTGTCCCGAAGCAGTGGTAGAGTTAATACTGGGACGTGTAAAAGTGCTTTTAAAAGCTTGTTTACTTGCAAAAATAAAATGAGTTTATATTTTTTTCTTTACTTTTGCACAATAATAATATTCACGGATGGTGATTTATGCGCATTGCGTGCGCGTTCGCGGGGCAATTTGTTTATAATTGTACTAATATTATAAATGCGAAATTAATTATTTTTGCCTATTATTTAATTTCATGCCTAAACTACTGAATTAATTTTAATGAGGTTAAGGGAAAGATTTACAGCATAAACCAAGTCTATATTTTGTCGCAAGGAAAAGTCCTAAAAGAGATGAAATACTTAGGGATGAAAGTAAATAGGTTCATAAGTTAGGCATGTAAAAATATAGTTGACCTATACTCCTTTAAATAATTAATAAAATTTAAAGAGCCCAGGGTCGAACTCGTTGTAAAGTATATCGTTAAAAGGCGCCGAATACTTACGTGCGACTTTGACACACTAAAGTAGACGCGTGATGTGAACAATTGCGTTCTAAACGCTGCATTAATCACCTAAGCGGTGTCTGTGTTGCCAGTAATATAAATGGGCCATAACAATCATGTAAATGTTCCCTTACTATACGGAATAGGCATGAAAAATCACTTGAGAACCATCCGCAAAATTATGTGACATCAATCGTCTGCGCGTCGCGTACCGGAAAACGCAGCGTGGGACGTCCACCTACAAGGTGGACCGACGACATCGTAAAGGTAGCAGGGAAGCGCTGGACGCAGGCCGCTACCAATCGATCAACCAACATGGAAAGCATTGGGGGAGGCCTATGTTCAGCAGTGGACGTCCTATGGCTGAAATGATGATGATGATGATGAATCGTCTGCGAGATCTCTGCAGAACTCCTTCCTATTTGCATCCAATGAATTATTTATAGAAGTGAATGCAATTTATGTATGAATTTAATGAATATTGTAGATTGCCCAGAATTTAGTATGCAACGACTGATTTTAGTTGCCGACATAGGCAAGCTAGAGCTAAAGATAGATACAACATAGGATTCTGAGATTAATAAAGAACGAGATAATTTTAGCATCTATCTTGCATCGAAATCTAAATCCTAATAAAGTCTTTGTAACTCAGCGGTCAGAGTAGTTGCCCAGCAAGCGGACATTTCTTGGATTTTATTCCCACCTGAGGCAATTGATGTTTTCATTTTTCATAATTAGTGGAAATTGCATCTAAAATGCTAGTAACAATTTCTTCCTTGGTAAAAGTAAAAAAAAGTCAAAATTTCTTTATTTGTTTAAACTAATAAATAGTTCTTACAAATCGTCATTTTGCTCTTAAGGAGCCTCTACATGTCTCATAATCTTTTTACCCTACCAGCGCTTCGAGACCAACATTTGGCAAGTGCTGAGAAGAAGCGCCGCAACAAACTCAGTCACCACTGTCTGCCGGTTAATATAAATAAATAGAAAAAGCAGTAGTAGGTACATTTGATTCAGGAGCAGTTCACTGAATTTACCACGCATTCTTGTATGGTGTATCATATAAGAATAGGTATACAAAATTGCGTGGTATATTAAACAAGGTAGTGACGTGATAATATCTAGACTTACAGATTAAGATACTTAAATACTAGTAGAAATGACTCGCATACATAAATTTGAATAACGTTGACCAGTCCCCGAAAGCAGCGCCTGTTCACAGACATGACGAGTGAACCAGCCATCGCTTCACTCGGTAGAAATGTAAGCTATAATAAAACATTGTGTTATTGTTCGTTCAATAATTATAATATTTCATGTGACCAATCTTCCACCACCAGGTGTTAGGCCAGACCCAAGACCACCGGCACCGCGTGCTGGTGGCCGCCGCCAAGAACATCAAAAACTGGTTCGTGAAGGTGCGCAAGATCAAGGCCATTTACCACACGCTCAATCTGTTCAACCTGGACGTCACGCAGAAATGTCTCATCGCTGAGTGCTGGGTGCCGGCGCTGGATTTGGAGACCATTCAGCTGGCTCTGCGAAGAGGAACGGTGAGTTGTCCGAAGTTTTGAATGTTTCTATCCCTCTCACGCTGAGCGGAATGCCCTTATGAGCGACAGTGACAAGATAGTCCCGAAGCTACGTAAAGCGTTGCGGTGTAGGGACCATTCTCTCATTCTCGAGAACCAATGGTTGGAAATAGTTCAGTAGGGGCAGAGTAAATACAAATGAGTAGGTCATCTTCATAAAAACGCCCGAGCGCTTGACCTACTCATTTGTATTTACTCTGGTAGGGGTCACTAAACACTTACTAGCGTTTTGCTTGAGGAGAGGTGAGTGCCTAGACAAACATACAAAAAGAGATAGCTTATAGGCATTTCGAAATCGACTCGCTCTGGCATTACGTGATAGCCTGGCGTATACTACTTATTCATTTCTTATTATACTACTCTTTCCATTGCCTCAAAATAAATTAAATGAGCCAAATGAATCGGTGTGTTTGTGGTTGAGTTACGTTCTTAATCTGACCAGGTTCCAGTAATATCTATTCATTTAATATTCCCAGAAGTCCGATGGACAATCATTAACCCAAACATTAGCTTTGTTACTGTCATGTTTTCATTCCTCACGCCTCAACCAACACTCCAGTATAAACACAAGTAGACCAACGTGAGAAGCCAATCGATCAATTGATATGTGGTCAATTTTCGTTCGAGCTAGAGAAACTATTTTTGAAATAAGACCAAATGTTTGAAGAGTTTCTTTATTTGTTTTTGTATAGAAATACTCTTAATTCTAGTGCCAAAATATACCTATTTATAAAAAGTATATTCGTTTGGTCTTTCATGTTATAATTTATGCTTACTATAAATAATTTAAACCGGTAATATATTCCACTATTATGATCGAATATCGCGGTACTATATTCAATATAGCGAAATATGTTTAAGTGCAGGTATTCATTAAAATTATTCTATGACATAATGTTTGTACGTTCTTAGTTGTTCCCGTTTATTATGTATTTTGCATAATCTGTTCTTAGATTATTAAGTTAACGATGCAGACATTTACCTATTATTATCTTGCGTAAAACATTGAACTAAAAGATTTCAATTAATGACTGGACCTAAACAAGTCTGTGTAGGTACGTATTTTACAAAGGGCACTCTTATTTATTATTTTTACGAGTATGTCAAGCTGCATATCATGCAATTTTATGTAGTTGAAAAAATCTCAAAATGTGTTATATTTCGCTCTCCATGCTTTACGATTTCACACTGCGCGGACACAATGTTGGTGCCGACCTAATTGTATAAAAAAAACTGCGTTTAAAAACCGACTTCAAAACCTTAGCCGCCTCCAAAAAAGTCCACCAAAAAGTAAATAAAATAACTCAATCAGATCAAATAAAATTTTCATGGGACCAAATGACAGACAGCTTTTGAATGATTGAATGATTTTGCATCGATCAAAGAATTTCGTAAATCGGATCAGAACATTCAGAACTCTCGGCGTAATCGGTGTACATGTTACAGGAAATGTATGAATTCTAGGAATTGTATACTATTCCTAGGAAATGTATACAATTCCGAAGCTATTTAGGAAATGTATAAAATATTGCTTCAGAGATTTTTTAATACGCACATATCCTAGGACATGTATACTTTTCCTAGGAATTTTATAGAATTCCAATATTGTATTAGGAAATGTATAAAACTAAGCTGCACGAGCGCGGTCGTGTGATCGGGTGCCTCTCAGTACGCCTAAAATTTCCATTAGCCAAACCACATTGGCCGATAGGTACTTTTAACTCACAACTATAATTGTTTAGCCTGAAAGTTGTTTTCGCACTATTATACTTTGGCTGAAAAAATATTTGCCTATTGGCATACCTTTCTTTCGGCATCACGCATATTACGCTGAAGTATTGGAAAACCCTAATTTTAACATATCTTTTATTAAACTATTATTGGCATGAAGGTTTTAGTACTCCTGTAGCTGGATAACAAAGTCTCGGTTAGGTTAGGTTAGACTTGCGACCTTACACATACACAGCGGCCGCGGCGCGGTAGCGCCATTTAAGTTTCGGAGAAAAAAAAGAAATCTTAATTACATTTCCGATTGCTGTTTAGGAATTGTGTAAATTTCCTAGGAAATGTGTCTAATATAATTTACATCACACATTTCCGGGTGATTTTAGGACTTATACACAAATCCTAGGAATTGTATACAATGACGGATTTCATACATTTCCTGTAACATACATACAAAAAAAAAACATATCAACCGAATTGAGAATCTCCTCCTTTTGTTGAAGTCGGTTAGTTAGACTACATTTCGTTTACCTATTTAATATGTTATTTGGTATTTAGTTATTAAATGAACGTTTTTCTTTGTTTATTCGCACAGGAGCGCAGCGGCAGCTCGGTCCCGCCGATCCTGAACCGCATGGAGACGGCGGAAGACCCGCCCACGTACAACCGCACCAACAAGTTCACGTCGGCCTTCCAGAACCTCATCTACGCCTACGGAGTCGCGACCTACCGGGAGGTCAACCCTGGTGAGTTTGAGCAGATGATAACAAAACCATGTGCTGTGTGCTTATGAGTTTACGTTACGTGTGCTCGCTAGCGACCACGTAAAAAATGATATTAAATGTATGACAGAATGTACAGCGCCCCTAGCGGCTGCTTTCAAGAACTAATATCTTCATAGATATTATTGACGTATTCGCTATCGAGCACACTGTTCTCGTTTCAACCGAAGAACCACAACGACGGATTGAACGACTGAATTTCTTGCGCTGTTTCGTTTCAACACTGGTCCATTCATTGTTCCGAAGCAGTGGTAGGGTTAATAGTAATACTGGAACGTTTAGAAGCGCTCTATAGGACCACCTAGTTGAACAAATTTAATATTGTTATTACGAAAAACAATATTTTTTCGGTTGTTTTATATTTATAGTAAAAGTCAAAAGTCAAAATTTCTTTATTTGTTTAGACTAATAAATAGTTCTTACAAATCGTCATATGCTCTTAAGGAGCCTCTACATGTCTCATAATCTTTTTACCCTACCAGCGCTTCGAGACCAACATTTGGCAAGTGCTGAGAAGAAGCGCCGCAACAAACTCAGTCACCACTGTCTGCCGGTTAATATAAATAAATAGAAATAGTAGTAGTAGGTACATTCGATTCAGGAGCAGTTCACTGAATTTACCATGCATTCTTGTATGGTGTATCATAAGAATGGGTATACAAGATTGCGTGGTATATTAAACAAGGTAGTGACGTGCTAATATCTAGACTTACAGATTACATACCTACTTAAATACTAGTAGAAATGACTCGCATACATAAGTTGCAATAACTTGGATTGACCAGTCCCCGAAAGCAGCGCCTGTTCACAGACATGACGAGTGAACCAGCCATCGCTTCACTCGACCATATTAGAGGGAATGTAACGACCCGCCTCACTACGCCACCACCCCAGAGACATTTTAGTGAGAATGANTAACATATCTTTTATTAAACTATTATTGGCATGAAGGTTTTAGTACTCCTGTAGCTGGATAACAAAGTCTCGGTTAGGTTAGGTTAGACTTGCGATGCGACCTTACACATACACAGCGGCCGCGGCGCGGTAGCGCCATTTAAGTTTCGGAGAAAAAAAAGAAATCTTAATTACATTTCCGATTGCTGTTTAGGAATTGTGTAAATTTCCTAGGAAATGTGTCTAATATAATTTACATCACACATTTCCGGGTGATTTTAGGACTTATACACAAATCCTAGGAATTGTATACAATGACGGATTTCATACATTTCCTGTAACATACATACAAAAAAAAAACATATCAACCGAATTGAGAATCTCCTCCTTTTGTTGAAGTCGGTTAGTTAGACTACATTTCGTTTACCTATTTAATATGTTATTTGGTATTTAGTTATTAAATGAACGTTTTTCTTTGTTTATTCGCACAGGAGCGCAGCGGCAGCTCGGTCCCGCCGATCCTGAACCGCATGGAGACGGCGGAAGACCCGCCCACGTACAACCGCACCAACAAGTTCACGTCGGCCTTCCAGAACCTCATCTACGCCTACGGAGTCGCGACCTACCGGGAGGTCAACCCTGGTGAGTTTGAGCAGATGATAACAAAACCATGTGCTGTGTGCTTATGAGTTTACGTTACGTGTGCTCGCTAGCGACCACGTAAAAAATGATATTAAATGTATGACAGAATGTACAGCGCCCCTAGCGGCTGCTTTCAAGAACTAATATCTTCATAGATATTATTGACGTATTCGCTATCGAGCACACTGTTCTCGTTTCAACCGAAGAACCACAACGACGGATTGAACGACTGAATTTCTTGCGCTGTTTCGTTTCAACACTGGTCCATTCATTGTTCCGAAGCAGTGGTAGGGTTAATAGTAATACTGGAACGTTTAGAAGCGCTCTATAGGACCACCTAGTTGAACAAATTTAATATTGTTATTACGAAAAACAATATTTTTTCGGTTGTTTTATATTTATAGTAAAAGTCAAAAGTCAAAATTTCTTTATTTGTTTAGACTAATAAATAGTTCTTACAAATCGTCATATGCTCTTAAGGAGCCTCTACATGTCTCATAATCTTTTTACCCTACCAGCGCTTCGAGACCAACATTTGGCAAGTGCTGAGAAGAAGCGCCGCAACAAACTCAGTCACCACTGTCTGCCGGTTAATATAAATAAATAGAAATAGTAGTAGTAGGTACATTCGATTCAGGAGCAGTTCACTGAATTTACCATGCATTCTTGTATGGTGTATCATAAGAATGGGTATACAAGATTGCGTGGTATATTAAACAAGGTAGTGACGTGCTAATATCTAGACTTACAGATTACATACCTACTTAAATACTAGTAGAAATGACTCGCATACATAAGTTGCAATAACTTGGATTGACCAGTCCCCGAAAGCAGCGCCTGTTCACAGACATGACGAGTGAACCAGCCATCGCTTCACTCGACCATATTAGAGGGAATGTATTTAGTATTTTTTAATGAGTTAGGGCCTCCGCTAAACCCCGCCGCGTGCGCAAGCCTATTATTGCATTTAAATATCCGCCTCAGGCATGCAGTGATAAAATAAATTTTCAATACAGATACGATTTTAGTGAGGCCCTTAATCGTAATCGTAATCCTACAGCGCATCCTTTGTGTGTGTGTTGTAATAGATGCACTTTGGCTAGAACTCTATCATTGTGATGTGTTTGTCTCCTTCCAGCGCCGTACACGATCATAACGTTCCCGTTCCTATTCGCGGTGATGTTCGGCGACCTGGGCCACGGCGCGCTCATGGCCATCTTCGGCTTCTGGATGTGCTACAAGGAGAAGCCGCTGCAGGCCAAGAAGATCGACAGCGAGGTGAGGCAGAAGAGAATCTATAACTAACTAGCGGCCGCCCGCGACTTCGTACGCGTGGATTTTACCGTTTTACCCCCGTTTCCCGAATTTTCTTTGCTATAAACCTCACGGAGCCCGAGACCTTTCCAACGAATGCAAAACCGTGGAAATCGGTTCGTGCGTTCTGGAGTTATAGCGTCAGGGAGGAAAACCCGACTTATTTTTATACGAGGGCTGCACTAAAAGTATCGGGAATGGAATATTTCCACTGTTCCAGTCATATTAAAATCTATTTAATTGCAAACTCCAGGGTTTTAAAAATCGTATACCATTTATTTATTTAAAAAAAGATTCTCGGTCGTATCACAAGGTCTAGTCAAACTTGTTTAGTCGTTGAGAAAATGGAATTGACTCGAGAAAATTCAAGAGCGATGATTTATTATGACTTTCGGAGTGGTTTAACACAAAAACAGTGTGTTGACCGGATGATTTCTGCATTTGGTAATGAAGCCCCATTCAAAACCACAATTTATCGCTGGTTTCCTGAATTTCAACGTGGACGTGTCAAGCTCAGTGATGATCCCCGTCAAGGTCGTCCAAAAACTGCAGTCACCTAAGAAAACGTTGATGCTGTGCGTAAGCTGATTGAAGAAGATCGACATGTGATATACCGCGAAATTCAGGCAACTTTAGACATTGGCATGAGCCAAATACAAATAATCTTGCATGAACAACTAGGTGTAAAAAAGTTGTTTTCCCGATGGATACCGCATTCGCTCTGCGAAGAGCAAAAAGCGGCTCGCGTTACTTGGTGCGTCAGAACTCTCGGGAGATTACATGCAGGATCCTCAAATGCTGTATACAACATCGTATCAGGTGACGAATCATGGATATACGCGTACGAACCCGAAACAAAAAACCAGTCACGAGTTTGGGTGTTCGAAAATGAATTAAAGCCAACAAAAATTGTTCGTTCACGGAGTGTTGCAAAAAAAATGGTGGCCACGTTTGTCTCCAAAACCGGCCATGTTGCGACTATTCCTCTTGGGGGACAAAGAACGGTTAATGCAGATTAGTATGCTAGCATTTGTTTGCCACAGGTCGTTTCTGAACTCCGTAAAGAGAACTGCAACCGCCGCATCATCCTCCATCACGACAATGCGAGTTCTCACACCGCGCACTGAACAAAAGAGTTTTTAGAGCAAGAAAACATAGAATTATTAGTCCATCCGCCGTACAGCCCTGACCTAAGCCCTAATGATTTCTATACTTTCCCTAAAATAAAGAATAAATTGCGTGGTCAGAGATTTTCATCACCTGAAGAAGCTGTGGAAGCCTACAAAACGGCCATTTTGGAGACCCAAACTTCCGAATGCAATGGTTGCTTCAATGATTGGTTTCGTGTATGGAAAAATGTGTCAAATTTCGCGGAGAATACTTTAAAAAGCAATAAATACATTTTTAAATAGTAATGTTGTTTCACTTCCTTGATTCCCGAAATTTTCAGTGCCGCCCTCGTATAGTAGATATTCGTCGTCGTCGTCTCAGCCAAATGACGTCCACTGCTGGACAAAGGCCTCCCCCAAGGTTTTCCACAATGAACGGTCCTGCGCTGCCCGCATCCAGGCTCTTCCCGCGACCTTTACCAGATCGTCGGTCCACCTAGTAGGAGGCCTGCCCACGCTACGTCTTCCAGCCCGTGGTCGCCACTCGAGAACTTTCCTGCCCCAGCGGCCATCAGCCGCCTCTTCGAGCTATGTGCCCCGCCCACTGTTATAATAATATTATAAATGCGAAAGTAACTCTGTCTGTCTATCTGTCTGTCACGCTTTCACGCCTAAACCACTGAGCGATTTTGATGAAATTTGGCATAGAGATAGTTTGAGTACCGGGAAAGGACATAGGATAGTTTTTATCCCGGTTTTTGAAACAGGGACGCGCGCGATAAAGTTTTTCTGTGACAGACAAAATTCCACGCGGGCGAAGCCGCGGGCGGAAAGTACAATATAAGATTTTTGTCTTATCAATAAATGCAATATTTATTGGAAAATACTTTTACCTAAAGGTATAAACTAATTTATTAGATTTTTATTCCTTCTATGTCATAAACAGTATACATCACATGTTATTAAATCATTATATCCTTGCAATCAATTTATATAAATAACCTACCTACTCCACTGTGTCATATTTTTTATTTTATCTTTAATGTGTCAATGTGTACTATACGCAAAACCTGTGACTACCTTTTTTTAAGACATAACATTAACAATGGTGCAAAGGTGGAATGTTAAATATCACTTTTTGTAACATTTAATGGATGCAATAAATTATTGAGTAAACAAGGTTTGAAATCAAAATAAGGACATCATCCATTTTGGTCCGAAATCAAAAGTGCCAGCCAAAAAATAAAAGTGCTGTATTCAGATAGAATACGTCCGCCTTAGCATTTATTACTATGGCACCAAAGCTGTAGCACCACTGTGCATCGTAGTATTTGAGTTCTAAAAATATATGAAACCACTGACTTTGATCTCAAATACTACGACGCACAGTGGTGCTACAGCTTTGGTGTCATAGTAACAAATGCTAAGGCGGACGTATTCTGTCAGAATACAGCACTTTTTTTTTATTGGCCGACATTTTTGATTTTGAACAAAAAATGAATGAATCGTCGATGAATTTTAGATTTCAAATAATCGACGCACAGTGGTGCTACAGCTTTGGTGCCATAGTAACAAATGCTAAGGCGGACGTATTCTGTCAGAATACAGCACTTTTTTTTTATTGGCCAACACTTGATTTTGAACAAAAAATGTATGAATAGTCGATGACTTTTAGATTTCAAATACTCGACGCACAGTGGAGCTACGGCTTTGGTGCCATAGTAACAAATGCTAAGGCAGACGTATTCTGTCAGAATACAGCACTTTTTTTTGTTGGCCGGCACTTTTGATTTTGGACCAAAAATATATGAAACGTGGATGATGTCCTTTCTCTACAGATCTGGAACATATTCTTCGGCGGTCGCTACATCATCCTCCTCATGGGTCTTTTCTCTATGTACACCGGCCTGATATACAACGACATATTCTCCAAGAGTCTGAACATCTTCGGTTCGTCGTGGCGCACCAACTACAACCTCACGACGATGCAGTCCAACAAGTTGCTGCAACTCAACCCTGACTCGATGGACTACTTGCAGACTCCGTATCCGTTCGGAATTGACCCCGTTTGGCAGGTAAGTTCATAATATAGACAATAAAAATCAAATTGTTACAACTATTAAAGGTTTACAAATTGATTTGCACTAATTAAATACCGTGGCATATTATTAGATCATTGATTGATTTTAAATCTTCTTTATATCTTCGAAAAACCATGGTTTATAAGAACAACAGAGCTGCACGAGTTATTGAACGTGCCTATAGTGAAGCAAGAGATGGACACCCATGGAACAACAACAAGCTAAGACTGTCAAAACACCCGAACCAGTTGGCAGGGTAGCTCATTATCCCAGAAACCATACGGCGGCTTAAGAAGCGGCGGGATATCTTCGACATTTAGTCTGAAAACGAACCTGAAATTAAGAAAAAGAAAAGCCCGTCTCCTCTGGGAGCAGTGCTCTAAACGTCGAACAGAATCCACCTCATCTGCTTATAGTTTTTAATGACTGATCGCATGCTTAAACCACAATAAAAAAAATATCTTCGAAAAGTTACAAATAAAAAATGCACTATTTGACGTAGAGCTATATTGAGATGACATGAGTTTGATAGATTGGCAGTGACATGTGATGTCATTATAGATTTAGTCAATCTGTGATTTACATGACCTTATAAATAATTCGCATATTGTAATCATGGCAGATTAAAATTGATTCGATGAAAAATAATGCTAGTTTCAACAGGGTGACATTGAAATCGTTGGCATCCTTTTAAACTAAGACTACTCATGATACATAGTACATTCCCTGAATATGAGACAAATCCAATGAGTTTTTTTGTCTTAATTTTACTATTTATTTGTATTAGTGTGCTCTTAAAAAGAGTTTAAAACGATTGCACAGTTAACAGCACATCATGTCTCATATTCAGGGAATGTACTATGTACCATCAGTAGAGTCTATGTTTAAAAGGATGCCAACGATTTAAAAGTCAACCTGTATAAATAATGAAAATTTAAATAACCCAATGTGTTTGTTGTGCAGCTGGCCGAGGCCAACAAAATCATCTTCATGAACGCGTACAAGATGAAAATCTCCATCATCATCGGCGTCTTCCACATGCTGTTCGGTGTCTGCATGTCGCTCTGGAACCACATGTGAGTATTCTTTTACTTACTTTGTATTTTTTATCATCATCATTTCAGCCACAGGACGTTCACTGCTGAACATAGGCCAATCCCAATGACTTCTACATTGCCTGGTTGGTAGCGGCCTGATTCCAGCGCCTTCCTGCTTGCTACCTTTATCAGGTCGTCGTTTTTTTATAAAGATTACTAATAGTCCCGTTAACCTCATGTTGTAAGTTAAATTAAATATGCTTGAGCTACGAGTTTAACAACAATAGTCTAGCGGTGCAGTGGGAATCGAACACGCGTTTCTGGACCCGACCAAATACCGGCACCATTGGGCAGTTGACTCCGCTAGTTGGTTGACATAATTATAAGAAAATATTTGTGACGTGTATAGGAGTTTAAAAATTCTAAAAGGCATAGTTAGTTTTATTGATCTTGGTAGTTCTACTTTGGTCTTACCACCCGGTTATTTGGAGCACGACCCTCTAATTTTCCTATGGTTCATAGGGTTAGCTAAAGCCTGGTCTGTGAGCACGTAGAATTTTGTCCAATGACCCCAAGCTACCAAGCGCTCGCACACTCACTGCGGGCGCCCGTCGCACAGTCGCGACAGCAATATAATTACGCGCGAGCGATAAGGATGGGTAGCTTGGGGTCATTGGACAAAATTCTACGTGCTCACTGACCAGGCTTTAGTTTAAATATTGTGTGCCAAATGAATGCTTTCTTTTTCATCGTCGTTAAATTTGAATTATTCCTCAGCTACTTCAAGCGACGCATCAGCATCTACGTGGAGTTCATCCCGCAGATCATGTTCCTGACGCTGTTGTTCTTCTACATGGTGCTGCTTATGTTCATCAAGTGGGTGTCATATGGCTCCACGCCGCCGCACTTCGGCAGCCAGGACCCAGGTACACTTACGGTTTTATAATCGCTTATCCTTTCTCCGGGAGAACCATAAAGTTAACTTTCCTTCGGAATAGAGCAACAACCACGAGCTGTCAAACGAAACCGATTTTAGGCTGTCATTTGTGTGTCAGTTTACAAGATTATTTCATTGTTTTGTACAATAATCAAACAGTCACCACGTTCTGAAGCACTATTTCTTATAAACATCCTAGATTTCAATCACGTAAAATTTGAAAGTCTCAGAGCTAACATTTTTAGCGTGCCGATGAGTGCTAACGAACTGTCAAATAGTTGCATAAAACGGTTCTGTTAAGTCGCATCACGTATCTCTTTTTATCACACAGTGTTGCCGCTCGTGACATCTCGCACGCTCTGTCCTTTGTAGCTCGAGGCAGCGACGATAATGTAGTGTTAGAGATGCTTCCATAAAATCATTAAAAATGTATGTCGAGATTTTGATTTTAATAAACGACTAGAACCGCCTCTGTGGTCTAGTAGTAAGACCACCTGCTTTAGACGCAGAGGTCTCGGGTTCGATTCCCAGTGGGGGCAGATTTTTCTGTTCGGTTTGGTTAGTAGGGCTTGTTCTAAGTCCGCCTGGCTAGCTACCACCATCTTACCTAAGTCTGTCGCCATAACAACAATGTCAACAGCATTGTTGTGTTCCGGCAGTTAGAGTTAAGATAGCCAGTTCCTCCGTGGTTGAGGATTCCGGGTGAAGCTCGCTTCCACCTTCGGCCTGATCATCACTTACCATCAGGTGAAATACAGGCCAAGAGCTTCCCCGTTGTGGGTATAAAAAAATGAAATATTCGCTTGTTGTCTCAGTCTTCCAAGTTTTTATTTAAATTGCATGCATCGGCAATGTCTAACTAATCCGTTGCTGGCCGTTTGGTGTAGTAGTGTTTCGAAACGGACTACTATTCCGGAGGTTGCGGGTTCGATTCCCGCATAGTACAAACATTTGTGTGCATGAACATATTTCTTTGTATTGGACTGGGTGTTTTCTATTGTATAATATGTGTATGTATTTACAAAAAAAAAGTATTTAAGTATGTTTTCATCCGTTGTCTAGTACCCATAGTACAAGCTTTGCTTAGTTTGGGACTAGAAGCGCAGTGTAAAATGTCCAAGGATATTTATTTATTTATTTTTATTTTATTATAATCAATACTATTCCCGTGTGCAGAGATCGTGAAATCGAGCGCGTACTGTGCGCCGTCGATTCTGATCACGTTCATCAACATGATGCTGTTCAAGACGGACGAGAACCCGCGGCCTGTCTGTAATGACACCATGTACGCCGGACAGATCGGCCTGCAGAAGGTGAGGCTTACACAGTACACTTCATCATCATCGTCATCTCAGCCATAGGACGTCCACTGCTGAACATAGGCCTCCCCCAATGCTTTCCATGTTGATCGATTGGTAGCGGCCTGCGTCCAGCGCTTCCCTGCTACCTTTATGATGTCATCGGTCCACCTTGTGGGTGGATGTCCCACGCTGCGTTTTCCGGTACGCAGCCTCCACTCCAGAACCTTGCTGCCCCATCGGCCGTCAGTTCTGCGTACTATGTAGAGATGGGTTATACTAGGTTTTGATACTAGGTGCACCTATTCCTAGTATTTATTAATACTTGATCCAAATACCTATTCCACCTAGTACGTAGTAATTTAGCATACTTGACGCGACTAGTGCGGACTAATCCACGTAATATGACTTTAAAATACATTTTTTTTTAAAAGATACAACCGTAGTATGAATAGTGCAATTTTTAATTGAATAATAATTCCTCCCTTCATACTTCAACAGGCTTAGGACTGTCAACTTAAAAGTTGGCGTATTTAAAAGATATCAATTTCATAAAAATATTTACATATTTTTTCTTATTTACATGAATATGGTTTGACTACGTTTGTGTGCGTTTGCTTCGTCGCGCTCAAATTTGTTTGGTCAGACAGAGGCGGAGTGAATCTCTACGTTCGCACATAAGCTTAGCGAGAAATACTAGGTGCGCGTAATACACGACTACGGATTACGCAATAATAACCTCTATTACTTTGACGGTAGGGTCGGAAATCGTGTAATTTATAAAATACTGGTGGATCAAGTATTTAAAAAATTGGAATAGGTGCCGCCTAGTACTGTAAAATACATAGTGTGTGGATCTGTTCTAGTAAATACGTCTCATCTCTAGTACTATGTGCCCTGCCCACACAGTACACTTAGCTCCGTATAAACACCCTTTACCCAAAAAAATATCCCAGTCGTCGAAGGCGACTTTTTCCTTTATTCCTATTTGCCTCCGGATGCCATACCCGAGAATAAAGGCGTATTACACAACGAAACGCAATTTACACCGATTTAGCGGGCCTAGCCAAGTGTTACTTTTAGATCGCTCCGAAAATCGAATCTTTACGAAGCGTAGTAAGGTAAAATTCTAGAATTTCAAGTTTTGCCAACGGTCTAGGACGTTTGAATTTGAGGGTTCGTTCAAAAGCTTTAAGACTACGCGAGTGTCGCTTTACACGTTGAAACAACAAACAGTTAAACTAGTAAGACACAGGTCTTAACGCGACGTTTATTAATGAGTTACATTATGTACTCACGGCTTCAACAAACAGTCCCATAATAGTTTGTCGTTTTCTTACCTTTTTAATTTCAGTACATCTGTTAAGGGTCGAATAACTTTGATATGGGTTATTTTATTTACATTCTCTAATGTGCGATATGTGAGTACAGAGTTTATGTTGTTTCAGTTCTTCGTGATCGTGGCTCTGCTATGCGTCCCTGTGATGTTGTTCGGTAAACCCTACTTCGTCATGAAGGAGCAGAAGCAACGTGCCGTAAGTTATTATTGTTAATTTTTTTATAACAAGGCAGGTTTATGACCGCAGTCGCACCTGTTATGTGAGATGCAGTCTACGATTTCTATGTTTATGTTTTATTTTAGACGATTATGACGAATTATAAGTTCTATGACTTTGCACAAAAGTATAATCTTGTTTTGTATTACACGCCTGGCAATTTGAAATTATGGATGAGTTGTTGGTGAGATTTTATGAGAGCAATATAAGTAGTTAACTAAGAAACATCATCACGCTTAGTAGAGAAACCAAGTTACGTTAGCAACATCAAGCTTCCATCTTGGAAACTGATTATTACGTAGATTTACTGCGATTATTTCAACCACTGCAATGGGGAATATTACGCAAGGGTATTTGTAGAGGGCGCTAGCTACTGTCACAATGAGGGTTTTCGCGTATGAAAGATCCGCTAGATGGCGGGACGAGGATGTGGGGTCTGACTGCTGCGTGATTGGTGGATGTTGACATATCTGTCAATGTCATGTCAAAAATAACCAATCATGCAGCATTTGGACCTCGCGTCTACGTATTGCCATCTGGCGGATTTTTCATACGCGAAAACCCTCATTCACAAACAGCAAAAAAAGCCATAAAGAAGAACTACACTAAACTGTCCTTTATTTGACACTGACAGGTGGGCCACCGACGAATAGCGAATGACTAGTTCCGACTTGTGCCACGGTGGAAACCATGTAGTTGAACGAAGATGGTGGCGCCCTTCTGTCAATGTCGTCGGTACATTTCAGTGTAGTTCATCTTTATCATCATTTCGTATACGCCATAGATAATATTATAATCTGTGAACACACATCTAGTGTATCGTTACTTAATTAATTGTTGTGCTAAATTACTCTTTCACCTAGTTAAAACTCAATATTTATTTGCAAGTTTATTCCCGCTTGGAACGACACTTTTCAAACTTTTCTTTGTGCTATTACTACCCTCTAGCGGCAAAACATTGCAGTAATACATTCTTTTTCTTCTTTTTTGATGATGTTGGCAATACACGTCGAGGTCGACTTGATTTGTGCCATTTTCAAGTATATAAAGATGAGTTCAAGTAATGATATAATGAAGGATGATAGATGATACCCCTTCCCACCCTTTGAGTCTCAGTAAAGCTGTGGTGCTTTACTGAGACCTCCTATGGACAACTTGAGAGAACCAGAAGAATCACGATGCATTGTTTTGCTTCACTCGCCCACACTCATGCACGTTCACGAACACTCAATGGTTAATAATCCACCATTATTACACATTAATAGTCGCCCAAACACGAATTTGAGGAAATAAAACAAAACCGCTAACATGACGCTTCAGATTCCTCATTAAAAACTAAAAAACTCATTAAAACTCATTTATTTCTGTAAATAGGCTTAAAAAAAGCACTTTTACACGTCCCAGTATTCACTTATATGAATTCTTCCCGAATGTACGCGAACGTCTAACTAAGCGATGGTTAGAAATCGATCATTGCTCGTTGCAGTTCCTCACGGGACATGGCAACTTTAAACATAAACTTCACGAATTCAAACTAGTCCCGTCTCCTTTTTGCGAGTGTTCCACTGATGATGTCAGTCATGAGCAGTCTGCCCATCATATCTTGTGGGAGTGTGATCTTTGGAAACATGAACGTGATATAATGCTTAATTCAATACAACATACATCTGTTTCCGCAATTTATTACACCGATCTTGTCGCGACAAGGAAAAATTTCCGTGCTTTTAAGCGATTTTGTGAAAAATATTATTGGCAGGTAGTTGCTAATTGCTCATAAGATAGGCCCCCTTAATTTAATTTATTGTCCGTGGTGCATAATCTTTTTTTAAAGGTTTTAAACCTTTGTTTGTCACCTGTCATCCGCTTTGCAATGGAGGGAAGTCGAACCTTAATTTCGAACTCCTCCTATGTTCTTCTGATTAATTTCGTTGCGGGTCCAATGACAGTTTAACTTTCCCCCGGGACAAACTTGACCTTCATTGGTTGGGTTTTTGTGGCGGTCAAGCTGTAGATCCTGGCTACACAGGAGTTGCAGTGGTGGGAACGAGAGGTGGGAATAGTCCCGTCCCAGTATTAACCCTACCACTGCTTCAGGACAATAAATGGGCCAGTGATTCGCCAAGAAGTCGTAACACATTATATTGCATCCCACAGCGCCAGGGCCACCAGACGATCGAGGGCGCGGCCGAGAACGGAGCCGCCGGCGGCGCCACCGTGCCCGCCACGCAGCACCACGATGAAGAAATCTCGGAGGTCTTCATCCACCAGGTAAGGACCGAATGCGCAGTATTAATCCTGGTATTCTTGACAATTTGTTCTACTGTTTTACTTTAACACTCGTAATAGTTTGTATAGAAGCTTGTCATGTAATGTCACATTCCGCAAATTCAGTAAAAGGTCTATTTATTTATTATTATGTCTGTTTTTGATGTTCCGACTTTTGTGCACTGGATAAGTCCTTCGTTAAAATTAAATTCCTCTTTTTTTTCTGTTCCCTACTTGCCATTGGGATGAACTTAGTCTTTAAGTTGGGTTGTCATTAACGGTTGCAAGCGTGTAAACACACTGCCATACGAGTGAATAAGAAATAGAAACAGTAGTGTCCTGCCCGCTGGACAAGTTACAAAACGTGTCAGTTTTTATTTTGAAATCTTTTCACAGAGTGAAGTGACTCACGGTTAAAAATAGCCCCGTATTCTTTAATTTATTTACTAAAGATTTGTCTAAAGCCCGGTCTGTGAGCACGTAGAATTTGTCCAATGACTCCAAGCTACCCATCCTTATCGCTCGCGCGTAATTATATTGCTGTCGCGACTGTGCGACGCGCGCCCGCAGTGAGTGTGCGAGCGCGACAGCATCATAATTACGTGCGAGCGACAAGGATGGGCAGCTTGGGGTCATTGGACAAAATTCTACGTGCTCACAGATCAGACTATAGTTTGGGACTAGATGGCGCAGTGTAGGATGTGTTAATTTATTTATTTCTTCATTGCAATCGTAATGTTCTCTCCCCCGCAGGCCATCCACACGATCGAGTACGTGCTGGGCAGCATCTCGCACACGGCGTCGTACCTGCGGCTGTGGGCGCTGTCGCTGGCGCACGCGCAGCTGGCCGAGGTCGCCTGGAACATGCTGCTGAGGAAAGGTCGGTCGCCCCGCACTAGCGATCACAATGACTATCGAACCCTAAGGCTGTTTTTTATGTATTTAAAGCTATTTAGGGTTTTTTACCTTTCCGGAGCGAACTTTCTGTTGACCTTTTAAAAAACGCTCTTTAGAAGTTTATACAGATCGGCTATGTGGAGCGGATCCGCACTGGACGGTCCGCGTGACACTGAAAGGTAAAAAACTCTAAATGAGCTTTAAATACATAAATAGTACAGAGAACGCCAAAAACATGCTGATGCGGAATGGCCAGTCACACCCCGCACGCGGCGGCCGTAATTGTCAATTTCATTCTGACGCAGTTGTCATACAATTTACCCTGTACGGTCTTGCAAATGCACGACAAGCGTGCGGCGAACGTCCGGCACGAAACGTCTAAATTGAAAATGGCCTAAGTAAGCAAACTCGCTGACTTAGGACACTACGTCACTAGCATTATCATGTACTGGCCAACATTTCAAACGTTTACCAAACCCTAAATGGGCTTTAGATTAGCGCTATAAAAACAAAAGACTGAAATAGTGCTCGTTTTGCAACTAAAATTCTATTCGGCGCAAAAGCGGTTCTGGGAGCGTTTTTACATGAACAGTTATTTGACGGTGCAAATAATTATGTATTATTGTTTCCCGCAGTTCTGCTACCAGACCAAAAACAGCACCATTGGATTCTGTGCTCTATTGAATTGTAATAAACATGCTGTTGTTGTCTGCAGGTCTGATGTCGGCGGGCTACTCGGGCGGCATCATGCTGTACGTGGTGTTCGCGGGCTGGGCCGCCATCTCCGTGTCCATCCTGGTGCTCATGGAGGGGCTGTCCGCCTTCCTGCACACGCTGCGGCTCCACTGGTGAGTATCGTGGACTTTTTATAGAACAAGAATAAGAATACTTTATTCAGCATAGAAAAATAAAATAAAAATACAGTACATATAACATTAAACTACAAGCTATGCTGAAGAGGCGTCCGCTCAGCTATATTCGCGACATAACAAGCGCCATGTCGAGAAGCTGGTTTTCAGCGGGAACCAACACGATGAAGATTGCGGATTGCGCGCCCTCTTGACCGGGACCATATTGAGGCTACCAGCCAAGAAGGCGCGCAACAGGGGGCGTTATGGACGGTGATCACAAAAAAGAGAGAGAAAAAAAACAAAACAAAAAAAAACAATATTAACACAAAACTAAACAGAATCAAAAACTAAACTAACTAAAAACTAATGTAATATGAAATGCCACACCCGAGACACTAACAGGGGGGCGCCACCGTCAGTACCGAATCGCATGTTCCGCTATTCGCCACGTTAAAACTATTTACTTGAACGACGGTGGCGCCCCCCCCCCCCGCCGTTCCGACCATTTTACGACTGGTTTGCGATTACAAATTGCGCCTAGCAAATCAAGTTCCAGTTCAAGTTGTAATTAAACACAACAATAGACCGGGAAGGTTCACAGCTGTTCCAAAAGACAAAACAAAGTAATGAAGAGAGGTAAGCTTTTATGAATGGTTGAACCTTATAGGACTTGCTGCAACTCCTGTGTGACCAGGATCTACAGCTCGACCACCAATAATAAAACTTATAATATGGGTGCACGCACGGGGGTGCTCCGTCCGGAACACAGACGCTGGCCTGCAGATGTACCCGTCTGCGCTACTTGTACTTTATTACGATACAGACACGCGTGCATGTGCCCGCGTGAGTTTAAGCCTTGTCCAGGAGAGCGAATTCGCTGGGAATGTCTTCGCGCGAACACGAACGTGTGTATGACGAGATTTACGCGCGAATTGTAACTCGCGCGTGTCTTATTTTATTTATTTTAAACTTAAATGCACATAACACATTGTACATAAGGCGGACTTGTCTTCTGGACGCAATGTATTTGGCTGTTAGTATCTCGCCAACGCGCGTATGATTCTACACGCGTAGGATTCGTGGCGAATTCGCCCTCCTGGACAAGGCCTTACTTAGAAGAAAAATGAAGCAAAGAAGGCATTCATTATGGGTTCACTTTTTCTATTATTTGTGAATTTAAATTATGATTTTCACTCAATATGGAACACTTAAACCACGGTCTTAAACCCAGACTTGTGACCTGCATTACGGTGGACCAAGACTTGATGATTAATTTTATTGTTTAACTTTTCCTATCCCATCGTAATAAACAATTCTTTCCTATTTTCTCTACTCAATACAACGATTGAAGACAACTTATTATGAACAACTGTATAACTTGACCATTTACCCGCAGGGTGGAGTTCCAGAGCAAGTTCTACAAGGGCGAAGGATACTTATTCCAGCCGTTCTCCTTCGAGGTGATCCTGGACTCGGCCGGCACAGGCGACGAGTAAACCCGCGCTCAATACTAGCGTGCACGAATTACTAACGGGCTAATGTATCCTAAACCTTAAAAAAACTCAAAGATAAAGATGTAACAAGAAAGATTTAGTTTATGATTGCTGACCTAACTTAGGTACAATATTGTCAAATTTTCGCAATCGGCAGCAAGCGTTATGAGCACTGTCATTATGGTATATTCTTATACAGTCTCATAAGTAGCCCGTAACATTAGTTCACTCATTTTTTCCCAAGTTATTCGTGTAGCGGCGGTAGTGTGGCCCGTTATAGTCTAGCTACGACAGCAAACGTTTGGAGCGAAGCGGTAGGCTGAGCTGAGCTAAGCGAGCGGTTGTGTATTGCTTTCGATCTGTCTATATTCAAGCGGGTGTCGGAATATGACCCCTTTCAGTGGTGGACCCCATAATAAGCAATCGCTCGCAAGTAGTTTCAATATTTATCTTATAAGTGTAAAAGTCTTAATATTGTTCAATGTATATCGATGTTTAGATTGAAATAAATATTTAGATGTCAATCTATATTATTGCATTTTAAAATGTTCAATGTCTACTTACTTAAATGTTCGCTAAATGAGCGAACTCGGTTTCAATCGATTTGCTTGTCAATGCAAAGCTTGTAACAATTTATTGCCAATTTGACGTTTATTTTATTATTAGAAAATTAAATTGCTGAAAGTTTTTTTTATCTAAATCATTTTGTAAGAATAAATAAAGGTGTGCGTGATTTAGTTTTTGTATTTTTTACACCCATGTTCCAATTATGTACTTAAAATTGTACGGAATTCAAACCTGTGGCTCTCTGTAACTGTGTGTTAACAATGTAGCATGTTAGAAGCAATGTCATTCCAGTAGTATCATAGTTTTCAGAGTATAAAATATAATGTAATCAAAAGATAATATATTTATTCTGTATCAAGCAGTTCCGCATACGTGTTTCGTAGTGTAGATGTATGGTAATAAAGGTTTTCCGTAGCATTCATTCGTGTTTTATTTTATAGGTAAATACACAACAAGGATAAATTCTTCCCCCTAACAACATTTTCTAGTCTAGTTACGAATATACCTAAGTTTTATTTAATTTTCATAATATATTAGATTGATTGATACCGTCTTGGTCCGTTGACCGGGCAAATGATTCCTTGGTGCAAAACAATTTAACAGTGTCGTCTATGTATGTCAATAGTCACGTGGTTCAGTCGTACTCAGCACCGATGGTGATACTGATGTCTCCGGGCAGCACCGTGGTCTTGTGGTACCAGCGGTTGGTGTCCACCACCACTGTGAAATAAAAAAGTTTTTGCAAAATATGTGTATTACTATCAACCAAAAGCTTTGCCTCTACTGGGATTCGAACCGACTATGGGTCTGAGACAAGAAGTTTTACCACTAGATTCAATGGACTTGCTGAACATAGGTGTCCCCAAGGATTTCCACAATGATCAGTTTTGCGCTGTCGTATCTACGAACTACGTGCCCCGCCCACTGCCACTTAAGTTTGGCAATTCTATGTTCGATGCTGATCTGTCCTGCTACGGATTCCCTCATGAAATTATCATGTAGGAAAGCTCTGAGCAAAGCACACTATCATCCTTAGGGTAACCTTGATCCTTCTTACGAGGCCTGAGGGATCACGTTTCCCTCCCGTACGTTATCACTGGCAACGCAGACTATAACTGACTGGTACTGGTATAATGGTTGCGGAAAGCATCTGGATGCGGGCACAGGGCATCGCAGGACTGGTCTTTGTGGAATTGGGGGAGGTCTTTGTCCAGCACAAGTGGACGTCATTAATAAAATCTGCGAGTGCTGTTGGAAATCTAAAGGTTAAGCTGAAAGGAAACGAAGGGAAGGTCACACGTATCTCGCCGGGCTGCAGCGTGAAGGCGAGCCAGCGGCAGGCGTACAGGCACTTGCGGGAGGCCTTTGTCCAGCAGCAGACGTCATTATATTATGTAGGCGCACACTAGGCGACACGCGACAGCTCGGCGACTAGGCAATTTCATATATTACTTAGTTTGTCGTGACTCCGCGACTGACGCCAAGTGTGCGAAGCTTTGAACAAAATATATGAAATGGTCGGCTGCAGCCTGTCACCGAGCTGTCTTGCCGCGTGAGCGCCTGCACTAAGCTGAAAGGAACCAAGGTGAGGTCACTTACGTATCTCGCCCGGCTGCAGCGTGAAGGTGAGCCAGCGGCAGGCGTAGAGACACTCGGGCGGCGGCGCCAGCTCCCAGCGCTTGCGACCGCGCACCTGAGCTTGCCACGACATGTGCTTCACCGAGTCCACCTGGGAATTAAGACCAATTGGAGTTCATGGATACAATCTGACCGAGCTAACTGTGCATCTTGCTGGTGGTAGACTCTCCCTCGCACTCACCCGTACAACTCCTCGCGTTCGCCCCTTCTGTACTAGAGCGTCGATGTGACATCACGACTGCTAGGGGCACAGTTAACTCGATGTGGTATTGAAGACAGTAATTATAGTAGAATCTATCTATTAAGGGTAAGATAGGATAGGACCATTAAGTATTTCAGAAGGATACTAAGTTTAATGCAGTTCTGAATTGCGAGCTGAAGAAGATGTTCTCTTTTTGGCAAGCCATAACCTCCAATCACAGATGAAAAATCCGCTGACGTGAATCTGGATGGTCTTAGGATCTATTCCCAGAATCCGGGATAAGTCATTTGAACATATAATACTTTGAAACAAGTTCGTTTATGGATAAGGATCTCCTACCTAAATGCTCCCTGAAAAAAGTTACTTGCTACTTTAGTTTGTCGTCAATAAAAAAAAAGTAGTTTCTTTTCTCAAAACCTATTTCAGACAGTCTACTACAATAGGTAATTTATCATTCAAAAATAATGTTTTCGAACTTACGTGCATATGAGCCCCTTGTCCCGGTCCGCCCATAAAGATCCAGTCCACCATATCGCTCTCAGCAGTCTTCGGTAGAAAGTACGGTCTGTTGTAATAACTCCTCAATTTCCTGGTTTCCTCGCTGTAGCAAGTGCTCCAGCCCACGTACCAAGGCTCCCCGGACAAATTAGCTCGCGCTGCGTCCATAGAGAAGACTTCTTGCAAAGAGTTCAGCCCAGATTTGTACGCGAAGTAGAAACAGTCGTTGATCCGCTTCCCCATTTTGCCGTCGCGGTAAAAGTTGGCGAAGAAGTCGAAGCTGAATTCCTGGTGAAAGACATTTAATTATTACTTAAGATCTAGTAAGTTAATTAAGTAATTTATCCGGCCGGGCCTATTCTGTGTTACTACAACTACTTAAACTGGACCTAATAGTTTGAAAAGAACATTACGAACACTAAGTCCCGGTTTCGATCATGGGCCTTACTGCGGGCGGGGACCAATAAAGAAGACCATTATGAAAGGGTAGGTAGGCGCCACGCCACGTAGGGTATCACACAATAATTCAGGAACAAGTGCCTACATCAGAGCGCATCGATGACTACGATGTGTAATGACTACCTACCATGAATCAAAAATTCTTCATCCACCCACCTGAACAGCCTTCCAGTGGTTCATAGCATCAGTAACGATGACGGGGGCAGCATTATACGCGTAGTACTGCTCGAACTCCTGGGCCGAGGTGTTGGCGAGCCGCACCGCGCCCTCCACGCCGATGCACATGGAGCAGTCTTCAGGAGGACGAAAGAGGGTCTTGGACGCTGATGGTAGCTCAAACACGCAGTTCTAAGAAAAAATATTTGAGGGTTTCCAACGAACTTGGTTTATCCTACCCTCAAGTTACGCAAATCACATTATAAAACAACCAACGTAGCTTATAAGGACCCTAGGCAAGTGGCATTTTCTAATCGATCCGATTATAATATAATCTTTTCTCGGAGCGTAGTAACTCCGTATGAAAAACGCCGGGGCGAAGGACTTTCGAAATAAACTGTCACGTTTTGTCACTTGTCTAGGGGGATGCAGATGGTTTGATAAATAAGTAGGTAGGTAACGACATCATAAAACAACTCACCTTTGTCGACAGATCCTTCATAAACCACTGCACTATCATCCCCACACACAAAACTAAAACCGTGATAAACGAATACAACTTCGGGTTTCTGTTCAACACTTTTTTCATTCTACCCTCCGTTTTGGGGAGTTGAAGCTGAGAGATATAGGCATTGCTCAGCTTGAGGCTTTCTATTTTGTTCAGTATCTTCTGAACCCTGAGCTCGGCGGACTTGCCCTTCTTCTCGCAAGGTTTAGGCTGGCTCATGTTGCGGTCACACTGGCTTAGCGAGCAATGGAGGACATTTAAGGCGTGGGAGGATTTTTATACCGCGTCGATTACATAGAGCTGTTACTACATGAAAATATCACAGAGCTATATATTTATTTTTAGGTGAGTATTTAACTTACAAGACAACAAAGTACTAACACTGCCTGTTAACAGTTCCGAGTCTGACACATTAAATTAGTTATTCTAAAAGCAAAACAACAGGTTTATGTGGGTAAATACAAAAGGTATTCTCAAATGCTTACCTACCCACATCAATAAAATTATTTATCTATCGGTTTTAGCTACGTCAGTCACCACAGAGCATGTCGGTCACCTTGGCGGCCCATAAACCAGATTTTAGAAATCATAATCAGAACACTAGAGTACTCAGATTATTGCCAAGTCGTACTAGCCAAAGAATACTCATACTCGTACTCGCGGGGTTGTAACAGCTCTAGCAATATCTCTACTACAGAAATGTGCACCAAGTATGAAATTGAAATTCATTATCGCGCGCGACACCGCAACTGTGTCCCCAGTTGGGCGCTCTGGTGCTTTTGCTTTATATCCCTATTCCAATCCCTCCAATCAATTACCAAGTTATCGGGTGGCTCATGCGTAAGCATGGCTGCAAGTTCGAAAATAGGCTTTTCATTGGAAGGCAACCTATGACATTATGCGAAGAAATGCTGATAGCTTGTGATACTAGCAGCTCTGATTTGTGAACCATTACTATGTATATGACGCGTGGCGTGTGTGTGAAACCATTTAACAAGGGGTTCAGCAGAAATATTTTTGTCCTGCAGCATAATGTGGCAGAAAAAACCAGCTATGTTTTTTTAAAATTAAATAATAAAAAAATATTCATGATTCTTATAATCTAATCTAAAAAAAACACTGCCTGAAACGGAACGAAAACATCTGACTTACGTCAACGTCAAAATCTTTGTGACAGTGACGTTTAAAAAACCAAGTTTGTTTCGTCAAAAATACAGAAAGAAAATAAACAGGAACTAAATCGTCGTAATTAATATTAAATACCACTGTTATTACTATTATCTTCAAGTCCTCAATGAGGTCAAACAAATTAACTAAGTTTCTCTCTTAAAATTCACCAATGGCTGCGATACTCGGCGGCGGCCTTAGTGGTTTATCCACGGCATATTATTTGCTCAAAAACAACTTGAAAAGCAACAGCAACCTCAAATTGTTTCTACTCGAAGCGACCGGCTACTGCGGAGGATGGATCAAGTCTATTAAAACCAAAGACTACACATTTGAACTGGGGCCCAGAACCATCCGGCCGCGAGGTATGACCGGCCTGAACACCTTGAACATGATGCAGGACCTGGGGCTGAGCGAGCACATCGTGCCCATCATGCCCAACCACCCTGCAGCCAAGAACAGGATGATCTATGTCAACAACCACCTCCACACTCTCCCTTCTAGTTTCAAAGGTGTGTTCCAGAAAAATCAACCCTTTTCCAAACCTTTGATTTACGCCCTGTTCAATGACATAAAGCAACCTAACAAATTGTTGGAGGATGATTCCATTTACAACTTTGTTGAGAGGAGATTTGGCAAGGAAATTGCAGACTATGCTATATCTCCTATGATTTGCGGAATATGTGCTGGTGATGCCAAAGAAATATCAGTGAAATTTCTTATGAAAACACTATTTGAGTGGGAGCAAGTCCACGGTGGAGTTGTCAAAGGACTGATGAAATCTATGTTCAAATCCAGCACAGACCAAGAATTAGAGCTAAGTGATTTAGCAAAAAAGGCACAGGAAGAGAAGTGGAATGTGTACACAGTAAGAGGGGGCTTGGAGACCTTCCCCAATACTTTGCTCAGGCATCTCAAAGAAAACAATGTTGATGTGAGAATGGATAACAAAATTGATGAAATTGAGTTCATTGACTCCAGCACAGTGAAGCTGATAAACAAAGCTGGAGGTAAAATAATAGCTTCTCACATCTATTCCTCTATCCCAGCATATTCTCTGGCTAAGCTCGTTGAAAAGCAACACCCAGTTTTGGCCAAAGACCTAAACAGCATTCCGTTTGTCACTGTTGGTATTGTCAACCTATATTTTTCCACAAAAGCATCACTCATTGAACCGGCCTTTGGCTTCTTAGTCCCTCCCATTGAGAATTCTCCAATTCTGGGAGTTGTCTTTGACTCCTGCTGTATTCCAGACCAAAATGGCACAGTTCTGACTGTGATGCTGGGAGGCAAGTGGTTTAAAGAGAAGTTTGGAGACAATGTTACTGAGAAAGAGCTACTAGACATTGCACTAAAAGAAATAAAGTCAATTTTACACATCACTGATGTTCCAGCTGCCCAGAATGTTAACATTTTGGACAAATGTATCCCACAGTATGTGATTGGACATTATGAGAGAGTGGACAAGATCCGTCAATATATTAAGGACAACAATCTTCCTATTTCTGTAGTTGGTTGTAGCTATGATGGAGTTGGTATAAATGATGTTATTTATTCAGCTAAGACACAAGTTATTAAAGATTGTACATAGAGATTATATATTTTATCGCAGATCTGGTTATGGTTAATATTATACAGAAGCATTTGATTAAAGTTATTGTGCCATGTCTTCCAATCAAAGTTACAAAGTATTATTGTACCTGCAAATGAAATAATTATGTACAGTCGCAGAATGAAAAGGTTCGTCACCTTAGTGTCGGTTTTCGCTTGCACTAGGTACTGTAAGAGTCAAACCTGCCAACATAACAGTGCAAGAAACAGTGCTGCTAACATTTAAATAAATATGACATTTGCTAACGAATAAGGTTTTGCTTGTTTATTTTTCTATCCCATCAGTGCAATGCAATGATGACATTGACCAATTGACAATGGTTTTTTTAATTTAATAGAAATAATAATGGCAGGTTGAACCAACAAGAAGGTTTTAGTTTATCAATCATAATACTCTTCTTGACAAGATAAATCGTCAAACAACTTTGATCAATAATTTTGAACTTTACTGACGAACAGTTAAAAGTTATTTTCTCTAACTCGAGATTATTCTGTAACATAGTTTCAAAAGGTAATATGTGTTCGCGATTCGTTGAAGGAATCAATTTGAAAACTGACGAACCTTTTCATTCCGTGACTGTACAAGTGAAAAGGAGTCATTGCCATGTTTTAATTGTAAATACATGAGTAATTTTAAATAACTTTTATTACTGTTACATGGGTTTTGTTTATTTTAATTTTGTTTATGTAAGGTGTGATGAAAACTAAACGGGGTTGTGTTTTACCTTTATTTAAAATTTTTGTTTTTTAGGATTGACTGCAAGCAATAGGGTTGAGTATCTGATATTTTAAATACATTTTTATTGTACATTTCTTTGTTTTATTTCTTTTTTTGACAACCAGCAGCATCAATAACATATTATTTATTTTGTTTAATCCTTCTGTATAATGTCTAAGATCCCAGCCAAGTTTTATGCGAAATACAAATTAGGTACTGCCAGTTCCTGACTTACTGTAAAGGTCAATCAAACACGTGAAGTAAGCTGAAAATATATTTAGCTAATATTCAACAGCTGATAAATACTTGTTGCATTGCAATATAAATGTGCAAAAGTTATAATCTGTTAACGTGTTCACTGCGCTGCAGTGAAACTGGCGACTTCATTACAAACTTAACCTAAATTAATACTTAACACTAATAATTAAATAAACTATAATGTATAAAAAAAATAAATTAAACTAACCTCGAATTTTAAGTTTTTTCATGCAACAAGTCCAATTAGGCACATATTTTGTATTGTTCACCCTTAGATTAATCTAAGTGTTCACCCTATATATAGCTGCTATATTTGAAAATTGAGTAGAATAAGAATATATTTTAACAGTGATATAATATGATAAATATGTTCGAGACTAGCTGACTATTTATTTCTGTATAAACTAACTAAATAATAAAAGTAACATGATTATTTGCATTTACGAAAGCTTTCGTATTTGCTGAAAATGCAACAACATTGTTGCTTGCGTAGGTTTGGGATGACTTTATTGCATTATTTTTTTGCCTGCTGGGAAGAGCTTTCCAAATGGTTGATTGTGATTTTAAGGAATTCTAAGGTCCACACCGTTTTTAACCAATTTCAAAAAAGGAGGGTTCTATGTTCGGCCGTATGTATTTTTTTTAATATTGAACAAGCCTAAATTATCTGTTTGTTTTATAATACACTGAATTTTTGAGATGGGACAGTAGTAGCATAAGTGATTGGCCACTATAAGAAACGCCCTCGGGTGCCACTATGGACACTCAAATAAGATTTTATACGCGCTGCGGCTGAATGTGCAGCTTGGCCAAGCACTAAAGAATTTTTGAAACAAAACTTCGATGGAAGCTGGCCTTAACTTGCATCTAAAATTGAGTACTAAAAATAAGTCTACCCTACAGTGCCTAGATCAAGCACAAGAGTAGCGTATAACGTGTGATGGTTAGGCGCGGGCGCGGCTGGTGGCACGGTGTTGCGGTAGGAATACTCCAAGGCTAGGGCCGCGCTGGCCGGGGCTCCTGATTGGGCAGCGGAGTCCGTCTGGACCTCGAGACGAAGCGCCAGCTTGTTGGACTTGCGCCAGAGGATTATGCTGCAATGGAAGTATGAAGATTAAGGTCTGGTAGATTCAATATTAGTGAAATATTCTGCCCTGTGACTAGACCAAATATTTAAGTTCAACCAATCAAAAGCTTCAATTCATTCGTTCCTTTCAGGCAAATGCTGGACAAAGGCTTCCCCCAAGGATTTCCATAACATAAAAGCTTCAATATAGTTCCAAAATAGTGAACTGTCTTATGCATGACATCGACAGTGGGGCGCCACCGTCACCGTTTGCCATGTTGGAAACCATATAGTTGAACGATGGTAGCGCTCCCCTGTCATTGAGTTTGGTGGGACAGTTCAGCGTGGGTTTGCTTGAAATTGAATCGAGTTTTGAACTTCGTTGTACAACACACACGTAACATTATTTGACACTTTAATAACTCCATCTGTATGGTGGATCAGCTGTTGTACATACTGATAGCAGTATCCGTGATAGTAGTTTATTGCTGTCATCCACCAAGATTTTTTCCAAATTAGCATGTTTAAAGAAGTCTGCATCTAGCAGCTTCCTTCAGCCTTTACCAGTTCATCTGTACCCCTATGATGCAATGGTGTGACGTGTCCCATAGTACTCACTCGCTGGTGTCGTGCTGCGAGTCGTCGTCGTACTCGGCGGCGTCGTCGCGTTGTGCGAGCGTCAGCGCCGTCGCCGGCGTCACTACGACGCAGCTGCTGCTGACGTCTGCTGTCCGATAGATGCTGCGGTACGATGTATCCTGACAAGTGAGATACAATACATCAACCAATAAGTAATGTTGACTAGAGAAAAATACAGGTATGTCTACATCACATTGAAGCCGTATTAACCGCCTTTAAAATAATAAAAGCGTAAGTCACATTAGAGCAACGCGAACGCTGCATTACGGAGTTCATGCACTGCAGACTGCGCCATTAAAGTGGAGTGATTGTTAATTTTAAATGTTGATTCTGATAGAAACATCATATTTAAAAACAAAAAAAAGTATTTAAGTATGTTTATATCCGTTGTCTAGTGCCCATAGTACAAGCTTTGCTTAGTTTGGGACTAGAAGCGCAGTGTAAAATGTCTAAGGATATTTATTTATTTTATTTCTGTCAGTTTCAATGCACCACTGAAACATGTCTACCTTCACCAACACGCATTACAAAAAGCAACGATATCGCGATACAATCATGCGTTTGTGTCGCTGCAGTCGCAGTGTATAAAAAGCCTAATGCCCCTATTCACAAACATTACTATGAGGTCTCAGAGTGCGCATGGATGCACAGGGTGACACACGAACCAATCACAGAGCTCTATTCAACACTGTGCGTTCGATTTGCTGCTTCGCTTAAGCAAGCATACGGGCGTAAGACACAACATTACACCAACAAAAGGTGATACAGAAGACGTCCTATCCCGCTTGAGTTCTCCACAAACCTTTTCCAAATTGAGCGACTTTTCCAGCGACTTCTCGATGCTTCTCGGTTCTTCCTTCTCCTCAACCGGCGGCACGTCTGCCGGCTGCAATAACCTCAGCTGCATCTCGTGAGCAGTCGGGTTGGTCAGCTTCAGCAGCAGGGCCGACTTCTCGCCCGGTTTGATGGTCTCGTAGGAGATTATCTTCACTTCGGGCACGTGGTAGCTGGAATGGTGGGAATGTTGAATAAATTGTTCCTATTATGACACCAGATACCTTGCTCAAAGTACTATGCTGCCGTCCTTTATCTGAAAGGCGGCTAAATGACAAAATCTAATTTTGAGTTAGAGCCAAAAAATGTGGAAAATGTAAAATAGTTTCCCTTTGTTTTGATAAAAAAAGCTCAGCCACAGTTTTTGCTCTCGTTCTCATCAAATGGTAATTCTTTGCGATAGAACGCGACGACATGACCGGCAATGACCAGCAGTTAACACTATTGCCGATAGTACCTACTTAGATAAGTAGATCAAATGTCATTTAGCTGCCTATTCGCTTGAGGACGGCTATGGCGAGTGGTAAAAGAGAAATGTGAAATGGTTGATTCTACTATATTCGTTGTTTCAGTCACTAGCCGCAGCGTTTTTCCATTCTATACATAGCCAGAACGCAAGGGTGTGAAACTAATCGAGTATAGTTTGGAAATGCCTTTTTTTTCGCGAAAAGTTCGTGTATAGTTTGTGGTCACAGATTTACAAAGATACATTCCAAAATATACACGAGCAGTTTCCTATGGGTGCGTTCTGGCCATGTATAGAACGGAAAGACGCCTAGCCGCATGCGTATTTCTCCCCACTCAGAAATAGTTGCATAGAAGTTTTACATAAATAACAAAGTAACCGTATTTGTTCGTGACTACTTACTAGGCCAGCAGCTCGATCTTGAACTTGATGGAGCCGGGGTTGTACTCGGGCTTGGTGAGGTTGTGGTCGCAGGCGCGGCAGCGCTGGCTGCGCTTGATGCTCAGCAGCTTGGCCAGCGGGTGCAGGCGGGCTACTAGTGCCGGCTGCCACTCCGGCGCTGCCAGCCGCTGCGGCATGCTCGTTACTGCAATACAACAAGAGATGCAGGTGAATAAGGGTTTTCTAAGACTCACGCCCGTATTCACAAACGATACTTGCATAAGTAGCAAATCGAACGCATAACGTTGAATAGAGTTCTGTAATGAGGGCTATCGTTTTTATACTTAACAGTTGGCACCCCTGGCGATTGACAGGACCTTACTCTACAGTGGCGCCATCTTGATGAGTGCAAATGCGATAGTCCTCCTACCACTTTAGCGCTCACAAGTTGGCGCCACTGTCTTCGCTACTAGCAAGTGACAGGACCTTACTCTACAGTGGCGCTAACTGGTGAGCGCTAAAACGATAGCCCTCATTGGTTCGTGTGTCACCCTGTGCGTTCACGCCCACTGTAAAACCTCATAGTAATGTTTGTGAATACGGGCGTCAGTCGAGCTCGCGCGAGGCGTTAAAAAAGGTCTCCACTACGTTTTACAGAGGGTAAAGGCAAGTTGAAAGCAAGACATGACATGAGAGGATCAATCAGGGTGTTCTAAGGATTGTGAAGCAAGTGACGTAGTCCTGCAAGAGTCAAGACATTACAAAAAAGAGCTCTACCACCATTTACATGACTATCATGTAATGTGAAGTGACGATAGCCAAACGGTGAAGGTGTTGGATTGGCCAACTCGTGATCCATGGAACGCGAATCGATCCCCGCCGCCGCTCGACTATTGTGGTGAACCCACTCGTAACATAAGCATATTTAGCTTACCACAAGACGTTAACGGGATTGTTAAAGCCTGGTCCGTGAGCACGTAGAATACCGTCCAATGACCCCAAGCTACCCATCCTTATCGCTCGCGCGTAATTATATTGCTGTCGCGACTGTGCGACGCGCACCCGCAGTGAGTGTGCGAGCGCGACAGCAACATAATAATGCTCACGGACCAGGCTTTAGTAATTTGTATTTAAAATAAAAAAAGCAGAATGATAGTTGTAGTAAAAAACGCGATACAATGTCCATGTGTTGATTTAATGAGGGCTATCGTTTTTATACTTAACAGTTGGCACCCCTGGCGTTTGACAGGACCTTACTCTACAGTGGCGCCATCTTGATGAGCGCAAATGCGATAGTCCTCCTACCACTTTCGCGCTCACCAGCCGGCGCCACTGTCTTCGCTACTAGCAAGTGACAGAACCTTACTCTACAGTGGCGCCAACTGGTGAGCGCTAAAACGATAGCCCTCATTAACAACATGCTACTCACTCTGCTTCAAGTTGACCTCCTTAGTGTAGACGTCGTCAGGCAGCTCCTCTACCTCCTCGGAGGCCTGGCTGGGCGTGAAGTTGGCGATGGCGGCCGAAGAGCCCGACTCGCTCGACGGCAGACCGGCGATGTTACGCGCCATCGCCCCTGTTAGACCGGTTTTATCCTGGGGACAAACAGACGATCAAAATCATGACTGTTTTATTCTGGAGGTATTGTAAAGCCATGATGTGATCAAAATGAGTTGAATTACCCTGGGGGTCAGGATCAGGGTCAAATCTAGGCTTGGGTTGGTATGGAAATGTTAAAGTAAGACAAATCTCGGCGCGCATTTTAGTCCGGTAAAGTATACTTTATCGACGTCAAAATGCATGGGCGAAATCGAAAAAATGGCGTGATAACCGCTTATCGCGGCGCGCATCCTAGGCCTACTGGGTATATTCAGTGTCAAACAAGCATGGTCAAAATAGGCCAAAACAGGCCTCTTATTGTGGGAACAAATTGTGAGAAAAATAGTAACTGTCTGCAAAACTTGATAAATCTTAAATAGCATATTTCTTTCCATTTGCCACTGCCTGTGACTCGATCATTTTGAGCAGACATTGCCAATGCCAATGCAAGGAATTTGCAACTAAATGTGTCACTTTACCCTACATACTTTAACCTACTTACTTGATAATAACTTACAGTGGAGATTGTGTAATAACTTACAGTTAAAGTGATGTATTTCCCTCTGATAGCAAACTTCTTCCTTTCTCTTTCTAACTTCTCCTGTTTCTCCTGCTGAGCAATGGCCTTGTAATAGTCCAACAACTGGTTGTACCGTGAGAGGAAAGGGTTTGTTCTTTCTGGCCAACCTCCTGATGCTGTAACAATATAATGATAAACTACTTATCAGATCTTAACAGTACTAGAGTTGAAAGATTAAAATTCATAGAAACCACATCAAATGACACCACAACAAACTAAAGCCCGGTCTCCGAGAACGTAGAATTTTGTCCAATGACCCCAAGCTACCCATGCTTATCGCTCGCGCGTAATTGTTGCTGTCGCGCTCGCACACTCACCTCGGGCGCCCGTCGCACAGTCGCGACAGCAAGTTAATTACGCGTGAGCGATAAGGATGGGTAGCTTGGGGTTATTGGACAAAATTCTACGTTCTCGGAGCCCAGATTATAGTAGGTACATTGTACCTACATTGAGAAATTTACTTAAAAATTTAAGTAACTACAGTTTTCTATGTTATTAAATGAATGTGTGAGGTGTCTTTGGTCTAAAAGTTATTAGTTGAACCTTACCAACAGACTGGTCCGGAATGCCAACATCTCTGGAAGTCCACCTACAATTAAAGCAGGACAGGTAGTACATCTTTTTCGGTTGTTTATTTTCTACTTTAGCGTCCCCTCCTGCAGGATCCTGCGCTTGTCTTTGCTGAGCCATTGTAGCTCTTGTAGACAGTGTGTGGAAGCAACTGGGGCAGTCAAAGCAGCTGCTACACCGGTTTTTCTTCAGCCGGGCTTCCGATGAGGGCATGTTTTCGAGGCAGTTGGCACAGTGGTGGGAATCCACCTGGTTTGAATAAAGAAAGGGTATTGAGACAAAAACATTAACATAAAATGGAAAAGAATAGGTTAACACAATGACAAAGTCCTATAGAGTAAACCTTCTGATCTCTGTGGTACAAGAAACTGTATATGTATAAGCTTACAAGCAGTACAGCATCATAAATAGATGTAATAGGGACCATTTTGCCCCAAATCTTTAGTCTGGTGTGATACTGACTGCACAATACTAAAGTGGGTAAGTATTCATTCAAAATCAAACATTATTCCCTGGTTTATCAAAGAAAATGTTACGAGACTGATTTTAACTGACCGATTGAATGAATTTATGGGCAATTCAGTGCAATACAATAGAATAAATGCGGAGGCGGGACTGGGGAGGGGCAACCTACTTTTGAAACCAATTTTCAATTACAATTCCGCAGCCCTATAAACCAAACTCCTGGAATTATATAAAGCAATGTGTTTCATAACAGAAGCGGCATTATTTTAATGAATTTTAAACAGCTTTGAGTCACCTCATGACAAATACAGAATCCGCAACGTATCTTCAAACAATGTCGGCAGAAATATAAGCTTGTTATCGGCTTGAGTTGTCCACAAGAACAGACGTATTTTACATAGTCTGGTTGAGTTAAATAAGCCATTTTTAGGTAGTAAAATAATTGAAATCACTGAAAAATGAGTGAGAAACTACAAATCCAGAAGGCAAAAAATGACAACTAATAATTTGACAGTGATGACATTGACACATGTGTGACAAAAATAAATACGTTCAGAAATCACAGATTTCAGAAGTCCTTTCTTGCTTGAAGCAAGCTGTCATACTCGAAACATTTGTTTTCTAAACTGTCAAATGTCAATAGATGGCATTAGCTTTGGCCTTTGGCATTAGTTTAATAAACTGTCAATAGATGGCATTAGCTGTACTAAAAATAAAAATGTATTTTTCTAATTTCCAGGAATTTTTAAATTACCTATAGTCTTTTTAGTTTAAATACATTTTTTAATTACAGTACGAATAACAATACAAATAAACACAATGAATCATCTCAAATTGGAATTATTGTTTCAACAGATGACCATTTTTTACAGAGAACCTACTTCACAATGAGAAGGAATGTATTAATTTGATTTTGGACCCCCTGGGGGGTCGCGAAGCCTCTGTAGGGGTCGCGAGAGGTTGAAAAACTACTTCAGTAAAAAAAACAATAACGTTATACAGATAGGTTTATCGAAATCTAATTAAGCAAATACATAAATGTTGTATGGATTGAAGTATTCGCTCCCTACAACATCTTTGTAACATTAGAAAATGCATGAAAAAAAAGGCGAACGGCCGCGGCCCCGACCGTTCGCGAATTTTTTTATCATACTAGGGAGGGTCGCGTCATGAAAAAAGTTGAAAAACACTGTTGTAGATTAACTAACCTGAATAATAATAATCCGTAGCTGATCTTTAATTTTCCAGCTTTTAAGCTGAGGTGGAAAAAGCACAAAATATAAATAATAATACTTAATACATTTCATTTATTCAGATTTCAAAGATCCAATTATGTTAGTAACAATGTTCTTACATCTAATGTTAGTAGTAATATTTGACATTATTAATTATTTAGGTAATCTATTTAGGTAAATATGTAAGTGCCTTACAACTTACAATGTTTTATAGGTAAATGGGCCGAATCTAATGAGCAATTTGTCTTACATCTGCTTCATTAAAAACTCACACGTATCCGTGCGCCGGCGTCGCGCGGGTGCTAAACAGCACTTGCCTAACTTGAACATCTAAGAAGGTTCTGTAGAATAAAAAAAAATAATTACCTGTTAGTTCATTTTCTTGATAGATATTTACTATGATGATTATAATGCAATATTTGCATGTAAATGCACCCCGGAAGCCAACGCTTGAAAGTTTTAAAATTCAATGATTCAAGCAATTTTGTGAGTGAAGGCACTTGTAGTATAGAAGTCAATATAAGATTAAATTATATGTATTATCGATGAACGATTAAACCTACCTAAAATGCATTGATCGCCATCGCTGCACGCCGGCAGATCGCGTGTGATCACGTTGGTTTGGCCGAACCTGAAAAAAACTTTTAATTAGGTGTATTGTAAGCATGTCTAAGTAAATGAAATAAAGTGCCAAATAAAGTGTTCAAAGTCAATTATAAGAAAGTTAAGTTAGTTTAAAATTGGTATATTAGTAGCATATTATACTACGAGTATCAAACGTGTCTGCTTTAATTGCTCCGCTAGGTAATCGAACCGGACTCATATTTATAATAATTTATGAGTATTATCACAGAATAATAATAAGTTGGTATTATAAGAGATTATTGTCGGTGTCTATCAAACAAGAACCCTAAAATGTCAATGCGCTCATCCATCAATCTTGTACCCCAGATCCGTCAGGTTTCCGAACGAACATCACGCAGGACCCATCCGTGCTTGGAATGTCAACTCGTGCGCTCAAGGCATGCCAACAGGAACATAGTATGTGCACCAGGCTTTGCTTTCTCGTGGCGTAACTCGTTGCGAAACTAATCATTATGTCATCTGTATTAATTACTTGTGATAATGTTGGTCGTCCATACTCAGAATCGAGATCGTTTAGGGTGCAACAACTATAACCAGTTGTTGTAACTAAGTACCGCCTATTTTTGTAATTAGGTCTTAGGACGTTTTTTACTAAAAGTTAGTTAAATTCTAAATAATGTATTTGCGAAACTAGCGATATCAGTACTACACACATTTTATTTATTTTCCGGAAAAAAAGGGTCCTCTATGGATGGCATTAAACTCGCTTTCCATTTTTAACATAAAATTGTTGTAAATAAAAGGATTAGACCTAAATAGGTACCTAATTAGCAAATTATTGCGAAGTAAGTAAAGGTGGATGGGTCGTGTCAAGGAGGGTTTGACTGAAAAGGTTGGTGAAAGGTAGGTGACTCGACAATGACTAGGTAGTCGACTTGCGAGGATGAGTAAACTCGTTGGGCCACTCCCAGGTGACCTGGGAAAAGGTCAGGAAAAATTATGAATTGATTATTACGAGTAGGCATCTTTATGTGTAACCGCATGAAACAAATGTGAACTTTTTGCGCATCTGGGACTGCTCTGATAAAAACAGATGATACCAGTAAATACATAATAATAAATAAATAAATTCTTTATTGAATAACTTATTGATAGTTTTAACTATTTAATGAAGTAAGTATAGCTATTTAATGAAGTTAATAATTGTGTTGATAAAAATATGTAACTGAACTAAGCAGCCACATATCAGTAAAAACTCAGTAAAACTCATTTATTTCTGTAAGTAGGCTTTAAAAAAGCACTTTTACACGTCCCAGTATTAACCCTACCACTGCCATATATCATAGTGGTTTGTCAGATACAGTTGTGGGTTCGAATCTCACGAGCATATATATATCAGAGCAAAGCTTAAAATAAAAGTAAGTTAAACACGATATTTGAAGCTAGGCAATTGATGTGATAGTCGGGAACATTAAAATGTGAAGTCACATCAGAGTCAATAAATAGTATCTAAAATACCGTAAGTTGCTTTTCTTCTTTTCTTTGAAAAATCTTTTTGGTAGAGCTCTCTGCAGCTCATCGGAACTTTAACGTACCTATAACATTGTTTCACAATTATTTCCTGAAACTTAACAAAAAGTAGTATGGTATCGATACCTCTACTATCGGAATGAAGTCCAGAATGGTGTTGCAAGTAGGGCACTATCAGTACTATACCCAACTGGTTTAGTGCCTTACCGCCAGTTATCTAAGCTTTGACTTACTTTCTTGATAACTGCAACATAGTAAGTGTTGTGGACTTAGCGCTTTTTAATTAAAGTCATGCAATTCGCAATTTGGTTGTGCTGAAAATGGTTTTACAAAATCAACGGCCGATCCTACTTAGTTTAGTTTCATCATCTGTAGTAAAATCAAAATCAAAATTTTCTTTATTTGTTTAGACTAACTAAATTAGTTCTTGCAAATCGTCAAATGCTCTTAAGGAGCCTATACATGTCTCATACTTTTTTTGCCCTACCAGCGCTTCGAGACAAACATTTGGCAAGTGCTGAGAAGAAGCGCCGCAACAAACTCAGTCACCACTGTCTGCCGGTTTAAAAATATTAAAAAAATATAAAAAAAGTAAAAGTAGTTAAAGTAGTTTCAGCAAGTCATATTTATGTTAAGTTATGCCCAAATATTTGAAACGAAATGCGTGACAAGTACTTACAACCAGTTAAAGAAAGCATAATGACATGTTTACACAACGATGACATAAAGGCTGTAGTTTCCAACAATTGCGTAGTTTTCTGCATTTCAAGTTCAAATCAACTTGCACTGTTTCAGTTCATTTGTTAAGGGCAAACCATTCCGATAGGTTCTGACATAAACTGTAGGCAAGTTACTTAATTTACAATGGTAAATAAGTGTTAAATGCTAATGATTTCAAATATAAAAGTGGCGAAAACGACTCCGTTGATGTATGAATTTACATAAATTGAAAATTATGTAAAAATAATAGTTAGTTTCAGGTGTATTTAACCTATTGGAAATTGGTGGTGAAAGCTTTAATATGTACTCGTAGGTAGATTTCTTAAAATATGTTACAGCCTTTGACACAAGAATGTAAGTTTAAGATTCTTAATTTCAGACTTCAAAATTTTAGAAAATGTGGTTAGTACCTACGTAATTATTTACCTATCATCGACGCTAAGATAGAGTGAGGTTGTAGATCAGGATTTAGGAGTTGCAATGAAAAGTGAGAGAATAGTAATGTAAGAGGTAGCTAGGTTACCTAGTGGAATCCGGATATGTCACGTTTGGGTTGTGATTACTACCGAGTGTGATTTTGTACAAAAATAGAAAAACAAACTAGCATTATGCAATTTTACAAGCTATGTGCCGAAAGCCTAGCATTGTATGTAAAATATTTGGTTGCAAGTATCACTTACAATAATGCGTATAACTTGTTCAAAGTTAGCAATAAAACAAAACATTTCCACATACTTAATATTTAATTTTTTCTTAACACCGGCTATTACGTTTCAACATACATGTTTTAAGCATGTATTTTAATGTAGGATTTCCTCACAACAAAATCTGAATTCTGTTCCTGGTGTTTTGCTTGAGGAAAATACCCAGTCTTGAAAAATCTCAATTAACCTTCAGCGAGTTTGAAAGTAAAAGTGGATTTCAGAAGCGTTAGTTTGATTTTTGTTTATCCTTTCCTCGTTAATGAAGGTTATTTACGAGTTCACTTTCGTAGCGGAACACAACACGTCATTCATTTACTTATTTTCGTAATTGTTTATTTACGTTTCAGTGGACACAGGATGTAGGAGTAGGGATATCATGAAGTACCAAATTTTTTTTTCAGTTAGATTTAGGTTGCGACGAGTAAGTAGTGCCGCTTGCTACTCTATCATAGTTTTTTTTAATTATGTCAGACACAGTTTTACTAACGTAAACACTTTAAGGACATGATACAAAGAAGTGCACCAGGAAAAGATTTTAATTGTATTAACCCGCCAAAATAACATCCAATTAAACCGCCCAGACAGGTTGCAGACTGGCCGAATGGAGAAGTTCGCGCTATCAGAGGTCGGCGCGCGTACGAGTATACCTCTATTGAGCAATATGCCGCACACTGACAGGAGGTGCGCAGGCGCGAGCATTTTCCCGCCAAACGCCGCGCGCGC